TAAGTAGTACTTATTTACGTCGGTGCAAACGGGCATGAAAGTCTGTGGGGTTGTTTGCAGGCAGAATGTTTTAGAATGAATTGGACCAGAAGCACATGAGTAAATAATTGAGCTGAGACAAAAATGAACTCATTGGGACAGTTTGTTTCCAGCAATAAGTCATAAATATTTTAATATCCCTAATCCCGTTCATTCATATCTTCTTTTTTTTCGTCTGTGCCAACGGTCATTCGAAAAGGGCAACCAGTGTCTGCAGATTTTTCCAGCTTCGCTCGTTTCAGCGAGTTCAAGTACCCCTGCTTGCCTTCCAACTTAAAACTATCTAGCTCCACCACATTATATAGTTTCTATTATGTAGCACATTACATACAATTCTATTTTATAACCAAGCAGCGTGGTCTAACGGTTTAGACCATGGTTTGGTTTCGAGAAGCCACCTGTTTGATTCCGCGTTTCTTGCTGTGGTCTAAAATTTTCTGTGACAAGTGTCACAGTAGTGATATTATTGCTGGTGGTATGTCAAAAGTGATTCAAAAACTGCGAAGACACATTCACTTCCAGGACAACAATGCTGAAGGTAAAAGTTATTTTGGCTAGTCAAGGAGCTATTGGAACATAAATGTAGTAGTTGAAAAGGAAAGTCGTTTGTCTGCCGAAAGAAACAATACACTTAGAAACTACACTGCAAATTAATAAGAAAATTGTGAAAAAAAAACAAGAGTAAGCTTTGATTACACTGTAGCCAATATTGTTGGACTAGCAATGGTGAAATTGTTGATACAAAATGTGTTGTGTAGGAACATAAAAAACGTTGAGTGTCCTCAAATAATCCACCAGTATAATATCCATATGGATGGCGTAGACTATTCTATCATGTTGGTATTGATTGATAAGACATCATCCAAATCGAAAAGGAGGCAGAAGGAGGCAGATTGCTTTTTTAGTGAAACGATAAAAATAGGAAGGAATAATGCATGGCAACTCTAAAGGCATAGGGTAGAAGACACGAAAAGTAAAAAAATTTTTGAATTTACGTAGTAAAATCTCTGATATTTTCCAAAAATACAAAATTAAAAATTTCTGCAGTAACTCAATGCCAGTCACAAAAGAAAATTAAAATTCCTGTTACTCCACACCTAATAAAAAAAAGGAAATAACATTACACCAATTGATGTGTTCCAGCAAGAGAAGCAAACAAGCAAAATTTGACCATGTTACCAGCATCGGAAAAAAGTTCAACATTCTCAGATATTTAAGAAAGCAAAGTCGTTTATTTAAAGATGTAATTCCAACCAGGCAGTTATAAAGCCGACGCTGTAATAGTTAATTGAATTTATTTAATAAACCATTACCAATGTTTAAGGGTTGAGATTACCTAGGAAAATACGAAATATTGTAGTGCGTAGATGCTCTTGAAAGTTATTACAGCACAGCAACAACGTAAAAGTAATTTAATACGTATTTTATCTATTCCAAATGCAAAGCTTTTTTTTATCATTTTTATTTATTACAATCATTAGTTTTACGACATTCCTTAGTGAAGTGGAAGTTGTACGTATTCAATGTAGCCGTAATTAATCGCTTGTACAACTCGCATCCCGAATAGTAAGCAGATGGGGAACATATGTGAAGAAGTGTTTCAATTTATGAATTAGGATTTACTTATTTACTTTATGGTTTCATTTTAAAAATATCGGACAATGTTAAAACAGGTCTGTTTGTAGGAAATGTTCCACCAATTTCAATGCTTTTTTCCATTTCCTCTACACTGATGTAATTGCTATCTTGTTTTTGATGTATCCAAGGACGCAACAAGGGGGGGTCCAAGCGTGCCCGGACACCCACTCGATTGGGTTCGGCACCCAGTCAATTCCAGTCGATAATAACCCAACTTGAAAGTTCGGTTAAAATAGTTCAAGCTTGTAAATGAGCAGCCGAACTCGATGTTTTTAAGTATAAGAAATTCAATACATTGGTGACTATCTTTTTTTTTTTGTCATTTATAGTATTAGTATTATTTATAGTCACTTCTTTGCTCGCGAACGGTTAATTTAGAAATTCGAAAAAGGTTGTTAAAGGTGTATGTTTGGAGCACGGCATTGTACGGGTGCGAAAAATGGACAGTGGGCGCGGCGGAAAAGAAAAGGTTAGAAGCGTTCGAAATGTGGTGTTATAGGCGGATGATGAGGATATCGTGGGTAGAAAAGGTTAGAAATGAAGAGGTATT